TAAAAAATATACTAAAATAAATTTTTTTATTTGTTAAAACTATTTTCGAGATCAATATATCAATATAATTAAAAAATATAACTTAATAATTTAATGTAAAATAAATTTAAATTTTTTAAAAAACATAATTTCACAATGCTCTCACTCAAACACATCTTTAATGAAATTCTTGTTTGAAAATGTAGTTGTGGTTGTTTTTTAAATAGTTTTTCGTGTCAAAATACATGTTAATAATTTATTTTTTTTAAAAAAATTATCTTTAATACCAGTATATCAAAATATCTTAAAAATACTAAAAATATATTAATTTAAAGTCAATAAAAAAATAAAAAATTTATTTTTTTAAAAAAATATTTTTAAAATACAAAAATAAATAGTCCCAAGCTTTCAACGCTCTTTCCTCCTTGTCTGAGACTTTCAATGCTCTTTCCTCCTTGTCTGGATATTTTCTCTCCACGTTTCCTTTTTAAAGTGGAAGGTGTTATTCTAAACCCCTGGCATGGTTTACATTGTCGGGGCATTTGTAAGTGTTTCAAACTGTGGATCTATTTTTTTTTTTAAATAATTTTAATAAATTAATGTTTAAATAATTTTCAATATATATATATATATATATATATTATTTTAAAATATTAAAAAAACATTTTAAAAATAAATCATTATCTCCTTCTCAAACAGCACATGCATCTACAACACCCACACGATCTAAAAGGAATCTCATCATACGAGGCTAGAGATAAAGGGACCTCCATGAATAAGATCACAGAACATGGAATTTCCATCAACAAGGGACCCCGATGCTACTGCTCGAACTTAAGCCCTCTAACATTATGGACGAGGTATTTTACCGCTCAGAACCCTTTAGCTTTTTCACCGTATTTCCAGATAAATGAAAATGGTGGGCCTAGCAACAAAATTTTGGCGAGCTCTAATTTTTCCCAGTGAGGTTCAACAAATCAATGTCCCCCGGTGAAATTTTAACTGCAGATCAATGTATATTCTCCCTCTCTCCTGACTCTCCTTGAAATAAAAAAGAAATATCAGCTGTCGTCGGTGAAAGAATCATCGGCAACAACATTTTCACTTTTCTTCTGTTTTTTCCCCCTTCCATTTTAACAAATCCTGATATAGTTTCTATATGATTCTAGATATGGTTTTGTTTCTTAATGTATTCTCCTGTGTCAATGACGTGGTTTTATCTCCTGCTCGATGGGTTTATATATCATTTACACAAAAAGTCTGCTATAATGTTTTGGAAAGACAGATTTTTCATTAATAGAGCTATGTAATACAGCTTGTTACTCCGCTAATTAACTCCACAAATGATATATTTAAGCCCTATATTTTCCATTCGTTAATAAAGAACCGGGGGGGGGGGGGGGGGTGTACACAACCCATCTAGTCTGTATTTTGAACAATAAAGTATGTCAATAATGTGAACAATCATTTTATCAAAGAAGGGGAAAATATGCTTTCACAGTTCACGCGGGGCCGGCCATTTTCTTCGAAAAGGAAGAAAGGAGCACGAAAGAAAAGAATTATAGACCAGCGACCAAAGATAGCTCGATGTTTCTTAGAGGCTGTGCAACATTGTGTTTCAACCTGTGTTTTTATACATTTAAAAAATATATTTGATTTAAAAAATATTAAATTAATAATTTTTATATTTTTATATTAAAAAAATATTTTAATATATATATATATATATTTTTAAATACTATATTCTACAAACACATACCTACACGTTAAGATGAAAAGTGGTTGAAAAAAAAAGGGATTATAGAAAAACTTTGCGACGACAACAGCGGCCGGTGCTGTGTCTTTTTGACCACTTGCATTTGTTTTCTTCTCCTTTTTCTACGCTCGTTCAAACAAATTTGCCAGGCGAAGCCTAGAAAACATGGCGGGCGCAATCTGCATCTTGTGTCGCGCTTTGTCACGGTACATGTCATACTAGGGCGAGTGGCAAAGCCAGATGCTGCAGCTTAATAGTTAATTTAGATATGCCATAACATGGGGGAAAAAAAAATCTCATAGCATTTTTAAATCTCATGGTCAAAACCTGTTACTCGAATCACGAAATTATCACGATTTTATAATAAATAAATTAAAATAAATTATTAAATTTTATCTTTAATAAATTTAATATTAATTAATAAAAAAAATAATACAAGTACAATTATATTTAACAACTATACCATGCTTTTAAAACGTGACTAGAACTTTTGTGGTAATTTTTTTCAATAATTATATATGAAACTATACGATTATATTTTTTAAAAAATTGCATATAAATATTCTATTAGAATAAAATATATATTTATTTAATTTTTTATTGTCAATCTTTCATATTATTTCTTAAAATTATTTATATAAATATATAATATCATAAAAATAGTCAATGCGCTATTTAAATAAATGAATAATAAAGGGGGGGATCTTGGCCAAACAAATACATTTTTTTCTCCTGAATTTAAATCATTTAAATTTTATTTTATTTGCTTTAAATTTCTATTCAACTAATCATATTTTTAATTAAAAAACTCATAGTTTCGTCAAGATAAAAATAGTACATAGAAAGAAAAATTGATCAAGGAAATATATTATTTACTTGAGAATTTAAATCATTAGAATCCCCGCATTTATTGATTAATGTTCAGTTGCTGCGGCACGGCACTAGAAAAAACAAAGCTATAATGTTTATTTTTATTACAAGCTGAGGTTCAGATTCTGTCAGCGGTGAGATGGGTACCCAGAAATTCAGAGGCCACGACAATTAACAGCCGTTCAGTCTAGAATTTGCTGGGCCTATTGCTGGGAGGAGGAAGAAGAAGAAGAAGACGACGACGAAGAAGAAGAAGGAAGCCTATCCTTGATGAATATGACTAGTTTGTTTACCAGATTATGATTATGATAGTGGTTATGAATAAAATGTTCTTTCGTACAAATATTTTTTTTATTTTAAAAAATTATTTATACAAATATATTGAAATAATTTTTTTTTTATTTTTAAAAATTATTTTTAATATTAGTATATCAAAATAATTAAAAAATATATAAAAATAATTAAAATTTAAAAGAACGTGATGCAAAAACCGCGTTTCAAACAAGCTTTAATTAAAATTTAAAAGAACATGATGCAAAAACCGCGTTTCAAACAAGCTTGTACCCTACATCCTCTAGAATTGGACCTATGGGCGATGCAACTTTCTCTGGGTCCAGTTTGGGTGCTAAGAATTTTGCAAGTGTTCATGCAAAGCACCATAAGGAACAGCGATGGTGGTGACGTGAGAATTCTTCTTTGTTGGGGTCATGATGGCCTGTTAGAAAAAGCCTAGAAGCATATGACTTCTAGAAGAATTTAGCCACCCTCGCCAAAACCAAAAACCACCCTAGAAGCTTTGCTAGTAGAGCAAGCTCTACTCATGCTCTGAGTTCCATGTCCGATTCTAATAATTTTTTTAATAGTACACGTCATTTAAATTTGAATATATGAATTCAAATTTTAATCATGGAGCTGAATTTAAAAAATCCAAATCCCTTCAAAGTTCGAATAGCATAGTGGATTCACACGATTATTTAGGGGTTATTAAAAAAATAGAGTAATACTTTAATTTTATAAAAAATTCGAGTAAAAAAAACACTAGAATTTCATGTTCAAATACAAGATTTCTCCATACATAAAATTCAAATTTGTACTGAGTTTTTCAATACAAGTTTTTCACTCTTTTCAAAATAAAAAAAGTGGACAATACATTTTTTTCTTTTATATACAAGTATTTTTTTAATAATGTAAAAAATTAAAAATTTTATTATTTTATTTTTTCATATTTATTTAGTATCCTAAATTTAATTTTTATTATAAATGTACATATATTTTTTTTAGTTAACAATGTAATTCTTTCATGATAAATTTTAATTAATATTTTATAATTATATCATCACAAATACAAAATAATAAGATGATTGTTATAAATCATGGTTTTTATTTTTTATAAAAAATAGCTATAATCTTGATAAATTTTTTATTTTTTATTTATTATTAAAAAAATTTTAATTTTTAAAATTTGGACATTTTTCTCAATCTTGATTGAAAAAACAAGTAAAAAAGAAAAAAGAAAAATGTTTTCAGTTAATTTACACACCCTTAAATTTTGGACAAGGGAGCTAACCTCATGTCCAATTAATTGGGCCAGAATCTCATGAATAACCAGAATATCCAAGCAAACGGCCCAAAATTCAAATAGCCCCGCCGCTTATGCAATGCCATTTTTGTAATTAGTGGGAGAATGAATGGCCCTTATCTGGTTACTGGTAGCGGTTCTGAATCGAAAACTATGGCTCAGAAAAACTATGCTTTGGTAACACCATCTGGATGACAGCAATCTCACTGACTTTTGTAAATTAGCTATTGGCTTCATTGACGGTAGTGGATAAAACATCATTTGGTTTCCGAGCATCAGCAAAGGGCAAGAAATTCAATATTCTAGAACAAATATTTCTTGAAAGTTATTTTATTTGTAAAAGTTTGGTAAAAATTATTTTTAAAAAAGATTTTTATTTAAAAATATATTAAAATATTATTTTATTTTTTATATCAATACATCAAAATAATAAAAAATAATAAAAATACAATTGAGCCGGATGCTAATACTAATATTGTTTATAACGTATTCATACAATCAAATCCGAACTCAAGACCCACACACCAATGCTGACTTTAACATATTCATACAATCAAATCTAAAGTCATGACTCCCATACAAGATCTATTAACTTTCTCAATTTAAATGAGAAATAATTTAGAAGATATATATCTACTAATCAGATCATATATTTATTTTCTAAAGATTATCAATTTAAATTTTACAAACCTTAAAACCATTAAAAATTTATATAATTATTAGTTTGAGAATTCATAAAATTAATCAAAATAGATGCAAACTAATTCAGCCAATAAGTTAATAAAAAAAACACAAGGAGAGAGATTGCAATGCATGCAAGGAATGACCTCTGTAGCTTAATATAACGAATAACCTGTACAAATACCCGAAACATCCAGGAGAGAACAATAAAGAAGCAGAATGTGATGGAGTATACACTTATCTCTGAATTTATTATCTAATCAAGGACCCTATGTATGTATGGCCTATAATGGCACTACGCCACAGAGGTGGCAAAATACAAGGAAGAGTATTAAAAATAAAATACAAGATGTGAAATGTGGTCCTAAGATAAACCGTCAAGATCAATTCACCAATACTACACCCCCAGCTATATCTATGAAACTAAAAAAGAGCTTTGTTATGTGCACAATCTCCTATCTGCATTTAGCTACAACTTATCCGCTATTTTCCCAAGCGCATTCGCAAGCTTATTGAGAACAGCAACCAAGCCATCTGCATGATCCTTCCTCTGCTCCCGGTCCAACTGAAAATTTGTGTTCTGAGCTTCGAGCTGAGCAGTCAGCATTTTGCCATTCCTTTCCAAGACATCAATCAAATGACTCTGCAAACTGACGGTTTCCTCATCACCATCCATCGCAAACCGTTTCCGTTTCCGTTCCTCATGCGAAGCAGACCCCATCTCAGGATTTGTGGCGGGCCTTTTATCATTTGGTGGAACTGCAATGTACACAAAAAACAGTACAGTTTCTCTGCATGTAAAACTAGCCGATGATGAAGTTTCAAGACCAGGAGAAGTTGGAAAATGCCCGAACCACCAGTTTTTTCTGACCTACACACTGGCCCATATCATATATCCACTAACAATGTGTTCATAGACCTCAAATGGTAATGGTTATTGAACACTTGAATATCAAACTAAACCCCACAACCGGAGACATCAGTACACAAACTATAAACCATGAAGTCAATTTTTTTGACGGACTACAGTTATGAAAGAACCACATTCTACATTCAAACAAGAATTTCACAATAATTTATCGAGTATAAAAAACCTCGCAATATATCATGCGGTTAGTCGTGACCGCACAGCTGGAAGCTAGCAGGCAAAAAAAACTTTCGAAAACACAGATCAGATGAATTAAAGGCAAATCATGACAATCTGAGCCAAGGGTAAACTCAAAGTCCCAAAAGACAATTTAAAGTAGATGGGATCATGATCCGACTCTTGCTCTTTATCCATATGGTCATTAGTTTTCCATTTGCAACCTGTTCAGGTTTTCATAATAAAGAGTCTGGTTGTAAATTACTTGCCCTACACAAACACGATCTCTTCAGGGTAAGGCTGTAAAGCCACGGTCTCTTCAGGGTACGACAATGAATAAACTTGAAGAAAAGATCAGCGATTCTTTTTCCATAAAAGAATAGAAGAACCAGTTAAGAAGAGGCACCAAATCATGGACAATATGATCAATAAACTACTAGATCTGAGCATTACCTTGAGCTTGACTTGCTCGTGGAGCTGGCTGGTACTGCTTCTCTGTGCATAGCAAGAAGCAAAACAAAGAGCTAAAAAATATCAGCAACTGTGATAATCTAAAACCTCTGTTATTGGTAATAAATAAATACGAAAAAAAATAGATAAATAGAAATTAAAAAAGAAAAGAAAAAAGAAAAGGAGTAACCATGGAAATTGGAGGGCTTTCATTTTTTCAAAAAACAGTACAAACAAAACAACCCATTTCAGTACTTAATAAAATCCGACCACCAACTTTATAGCAGCAGCAGCATCTACCACTAAAAATCTTAAATCTTTTACTAACAACCAAACAAAATTTATTGAATCAAAACCACAATTGTTACATAAACCCAAAAAACCCACCAAACCTCAAAATTTCAGAAGAAAAAATAAAACATCCAACCCCAATTACCTGAAATCGGTGTCGGATTAGCAACCCCTGCCGTCACCGCCACCTTTATCGGTTGCACCTCCTTAACTACAGCCTCCGGACTCCCTCCTCCCTCCTCCTGCTCAAAATCTGAAAACAATCCATCCTCCGCCGCTGCACTCCGCCCACTATCAAAAACCACCTCCTCCACAACTGCCTCCGCCTCTGCAGCCGTCGAAGACGGTGCCAATGCAAGCGCCAATCCCGGGACCGTACCGACGCCACCATCGAGTATATCATATACCTCCCTATCAAAAAACCCCGGTAATTTCCTTTCTCTTCTCAAATCATTCCTCATAACCCAAAAGGACTCCGTTTCTTCTCTTATTGAAGTCTCCCATTCTTTTATCTTCTTAAAATCACCTGCTAAATTACTCCATCTTTTCCGACACTGAACCGGTCCCCGGTTCACTCCATGTCTTTTACAGTAAGAAGATACTGAGGCCCATTTCGGTTCGATTTGACCCGACCCGATGCCCATACCCGATGCGCGACCTCTTCGGACTCTGTTTTCTGCCACTCTCTTGCCCTGTATGAGTACTAGAATTTCTTGCCGCGTCCACCGAGGGAGTCTCGGTGCTTTGTTTCCGTCATCCCCGCCGTCTCGGATGTTGGTGTCAACGCCGTTAGTTCTTTCGCCGTCAACGGAGTTTTGAGTTGGGGTTAAGTTTAATTGCTGCTCTAAAGCCATAATTAAAGAAAATGATGAAAGAGGATTTTTTATATATATATATTTTGGTTTTTTTAAAGGCACGTGACTTTACGAGGGTGGGGAAGTAACGGAGTTCTAGGGGAGTCTCCGTTACGGCGTTTAGGGGAGAGGGATCACAAATCACGTATCCTCCCCGTAATTCCAGAATTGAGAGAAGGAGAGAAATTGAGAGAGAGGTTTTGCTTTAAGGTTTCGGTGGTTTTTATTTTTTATTTACTTGGGTATTGACTGAGTAGATAATGCCTCTTAATCCATGATTAAGGGTAGTCAATTGTGTGATTGATCAGGGTTATATCTTTAATCGCTCAATTAACAGGACGGTTTATTTTTCTTTATTTCTTTTAATATAAAATTATTAAACTCGGTTTGATTCATTACTCAGCATATGGGTTGGGTAGCAAGTTAACTAGAGTAATCAAAAGCATTTTGTATTGCATTACAAAACACGCAATGATAAATCTTGAGGTAATCCATAAGATCATAACAAGTTTAATGCCACTGGTTTGATATACTAAGCTGCAAATGATTATTATCTATTTAACCCGAGCATCTTGGTTGGTTGTGTGCCGATATGCAGGTTTTTTTAATATTTTTTGCACAGAAAATTTAATTTATAAATTGAAAAGTTTATGGAAGCATTTCATTAAATAAATCAAGATTCATATATGAAAAAAAATCATTAACGCCTTAAAGTAAAGATAAAAAAGTCAATAGATAAATGTAAATAATTATACTTGATTTTGCAACCTGAAATATTTATCTAATTATGTTTTTTGTATTTATTTATCAAAATAAATTTTTTATTCGATAAAATAATAATAAAAATAGATATACATACATGAAACTAATTGAACAAAATAAAAAGAAAAAAAATATCATGCAAGACTATTATAAATATTATCTAAAAATAATTATTTTTATTTTTAAAAATAAAGTTTATTGATATAAAACATAAAAAAAATATAGATGGATAAGAATAATATTTTCAAAAATTAAATATATAAAATACATTTTAAAAAAAACTCTATCAAAAAAAGACTGGATAATAAGAAAATATATTTAAAAAACTCTATCAAAAAAAGACTGGATGATAAGAAAACAATAACAAAGGAGGGATAATAATTGCAACGTAAAATATATTTTTTTAATAAAAAAATTTATCAAGCGGCAAAAAAACCAAATTTAAAGTAAAAAACAAGAAAAAGGCAATGATAATTCAAACATCGCAGTTGCGTTTCAAATATATATATAAAAAAATTACTCAAGTTATAATCATGATCATGTTTAATTAGTTGCCTTTAATTTAATTAGATAAAAAAATAGACAATGATGGCAAATGAATAATTTTTCTTTTTAAATAAATCATGACAACTTAAATAAAAAATCAGTTCGAGTCAACCCAAGATAGTAGGACAGACATGTAGCCTGGGTTATAAAAAGTAAGTCAACCCAAGTTAATCCGCGAAACCCGCGACCAATGTCATAAGACTGAGATAATATGATATAAAAGAAATTAAAAAGAATCATAAAGTTAGCCTTCTTTTTTTATATAAAAAAAACAAGGTCAAACAATGAAATAAAAAAAAAATATAGAAGCCAACAAAGGATGTCAATCAATATTAATTTTTTAAACTCGTAACCCGAGTCATTAAATTAAAAACACTTTACATGGAAAAACAACAAAGGTGAAGTCTAGAAAAAAAACTAATTACACAAGAAAATCTAAAATAAAAAATAACAAGGAAGAAAATTAAAATGAAAAAATAAATTAAAGGATAACATTGAACTTTTAAATGGAAAATTAAATTGAAAAGAATAATAACTTTAACAAAAGTTGAAAAAAATCAAAACAATAAAAATTAAACTAAAAAAAACTAATCCATCGTAAACTTAGATTGAAATATAAAATTGAAAATCTATAAATTTTTTATAGAAAAACAAAGGATCAAATTAAAAATTAAAAGAGTAAGAATCAAATTAAAAAAAATACATAATAAGTTGGGATTGAAATAATAAAATGAAAAAAAAAAATTATAAAAGGCAAAGAATTAGAATTAAAATACCAAAAAAAACCAACTTATAATTTTTATATAAAAAAATTATTAGCGAGAAACTGCCTCACAACCCCGCACTACATTAGGAGGAAGAAGATAAGACGGAGATTTAAATGATAAAACAGAATCCTATCCTTGAGAGTTTATTTGACAATGTGATTGTGATTGTTTTTAAAGTAACTTTTTATGCAAAAATACATACCAGTAAATTTTTTTATTTTTTAAAAATTATTTTTAACATCAGCATATAAAAATAATTTAAAAACACTAAAAATATATTAATTTGAAGTAAATAAAAAAATTATTTTTTAAAAATACTTTCATAACATAGAAATAAACAAGACTATGGGTTTGATAAATTTTTGAATTTTTATATTAATTAATTAATATAAAAAGATTTAGAGATCCTTTATTATTATAGAAATAACAAAAGAAAATACACGGGCAGAAAAGAAAAGCCCCTGCATGATGCTTTTATTTTTTTATTTCAAGAGCAAAATTATTTTTTTAGTGTATTTTAGAAAATAAAAAAATTAAATACCTTCAGGTAATAGTCTTAAAAAATTTGATCGTCTAAGGTAATAAAATTATCTTATTATTTTAAAAATTAAAATTCACATATATTTCCGTATTAATAATTAATTGGTCATGGTAAAAGACAAGAGTACCCCCGTCTCATATTCCTCTTAAAAAAAGAATTTTTATTGGAAGAGCACAAAAATCATTGCACCTAGAAGGAATAATAAATTTAGCTTGTGTGTACAGTTTTTGCTACAACTTTCCAAGTGGTAGGCTATAGATGATTACTTTGTTGATTTGGACAAGGGCTACCCTTATCTATCTTCCTGTTAAGTACTTTTCTAGGCCCCGTAATGAGGTCATTATCTTTGAGTAAAACACGGTTAATTTTAACACGTTTTATAGGGCCACCTTTCACGAGCCACGCATCTCTTTCCATCACAGCTATGTTTGGAATTAGGGTCAAATAGAGGCCGTCAAAATTTATTTTTTATTTAAAATAATAATATTTTTTAAAAAACTATTTGAATGTTTTAATTTTAAAAAATAAATAAAAATATTATTCTAATATATTTCTATTTTTTAATAAAAAACAACTATTATTACACTTCTAAATATCCTACTAATCCTCCTCTTGTACATGGCTTCACAAATTCATTTAATTGGTATTCTTTTTTATGTAGTCAAGTAGTAAATTTTCTTAATCCTCGAAGTGATTTTTTATTTATTGAAGGAAGACATCCTCTAAGACTTACAAAATCTAAAAAAAAAACATGAATTTCACTTTCAAAACACGATAAAATCATTCGTGAATTTAATGCGAATCCTGGACGAGAAAATCAACATGCTCCACAAACTATATGTAGAGGCAGTGGAGTACTCAAGATTAATCTTGCACGTTAGATGATTCTTTTTATAATAATTTATCCTTAATTTTTCTCTCCAAGAACCAGAGATTCGGCATTCTTAGGTTTTCTTTTCAGCAATGGCGTGGACTAAAATCATTTATATTAAATATTTTTTATTAAAAAATATATTAAAATAATATTTTTATTCAAAAATTTATTTTTGATTAAAAAAGTTTAAAAAATAATTATAAATATAAAATATAAATTTTTAATCAATACAATACCAAATAAGCTATTAATTATTTCTCGTAATCTTTACTTGATGGCTAACACATGAGAAAGCCCTATAATTTTAAGCCACATTTTTGGTTGGTTGGATTTGAAAGTTGAGAGCCCCGTTACTAGTGCCTTCTCTCTTCTCCTACACGTCCTTTTTGCCTCCCATTTCTTCTCACCTGTTTATCCCTTCCCATCTAATTAAATGAATTAACCCATTTAGTTTCGTGTCAAGCAATATAAATATATTTGATTGTGGAAAAAAGCTTCCATAAAGGGGCTGGAAGGAAGCACAGATCTCATGAGGGGTCAGTCAAGGGTCACAATCTTCATGCGATATCGTGGGGACCAGGTTGATGACTGTGGCCCTCCATTTGCGTGGGCTAGCCTATATGTAGCCGCCTTCACTAGGTGGTCGCTCTAGCCATGTTACCCCCTCCCCCTCTTTCTGGACCTTCGGATGAATGAAATGGTTAAGCACGCACCCTCCCTGCGCCCTCTGGCATGCAATTGACATTTCTTTTATGTGCTCAGTGGTTAGAAAAAGGTTTGCCCTCTTTTTTTTTTTTTAATTTTTTAGTTTAAATCTCGCATCAGCATTTAAATTTTTTTATTAATTTATAATTATATATATAAACATGACCTTTATTTCAAAATAATTGATTGGATAAGAATATCTTTAATCTCAGGAATCATCATCTTATCTTATCTTAAGACAACTTTACGTGACAAAATAAGAAAATACATAGACTCAAAACATTAATATATGGTCTATTCCAATGAATGCCCATCCAAGGAAAAAGGAAAGGAAGGACAGTGAAAGAAACAATCGTCTAAACCGGGTTTTATTATGATCATGTCATGACTTTGTTTGTTCATTTTATGGGTTTTTTATTTTTTATTTTTAAGTGTTTTTAAATTATTTTAATATATTTATATGAAAAATAAAATTTTAAAAATAAAAAATATTATTTTAATATATTTCTAAATAAAAAATATTTTAGAAATAATTATGATGATTTACTCCCTCTATTTGTTTCTTGGATGGGTGTAAATTTTTTTTGGTCCCCAAAAAAAACAAAGGGTTAGATATGCTTGAAAAAATAGAGACCCCATCAGCTTTGTTGCTACCATCGCAATAATACGATGCTCGCATCCTAGCTATGGTCACATGCATTGTCTAAGCAATCAACTAAAGCCAAACAAATTATGCTTAATCTTTGATTAGACCATAGGACCACCATGAACAACAGTGTCATGAACAGCTCTCGTTTTTTACTGGCTTCTGGGACTAATAACAGGAGTGGGTCCAAGATGGCTCTTTAATCACGAAGATTATCTTTTAATCATGGCGTCTGCTACTAGAAGCAATCAAGGAGTAAGTGGTGTTTCCCACACTTAATATCATTGATTTGTAAACTTAATCGCAACTCAAAAGAAAAAAGAGGATCTTTTTGTGCGTGACCTGTTTTGGATTGGATTGATTGTTTGGGTCAAGAGTGAATATGTCTGATGGTACTTTTTCAAGCCACATCTGTGGGGAGATTGTAGTGGTTGGACCTCCGAGTGCCACTGTCTATGGAAGAAGAGCAGCTGAGTCAGAAAAACACACAGCTCTGGCCCGAAGAGAACACAATCAGCATCTCTTGAATTAAATTACTACGATGAATCGACTAATTATCTCCGAGCGCCACTGACTGGGCATGCCTCTCGGGTTTGGTCTCAAATTTGCAGTGCATGCTACAACAGCTTTGAGATTAATGGCAGTAGTGAGTGTTTTTTTTAGCCCAAGAAAAGCATGAACAAATATTAATTCATAGAAAATTGTCATAATCACACCATCCCTGGAACATCGGTTGTTGGTAACATGTCACATTAACAGGGTATTTGAAAATATCATCCGGTTGATTTTTAAAATATTTTTTATTTTAAAAAAATATTATAATAATATTTTTTTATTTTTTAAAATTTATTTTTGATATTAATATATTAAAACAATCTAAAAACATTAAAAAATTTAAATTTTAACAAAAAAAAGAAAAGATGAAGCTCACTCCGAAACGATGTCTAAATAACAACAATAAGATGATTCGCAGACCATTTCGAGCTCCTAAGTTGCGATATCAAGGGATAAAATGTGAGCATGTGTCGATGCATTGTTGCCTTATTTGTAACCCAAGGTCTTCCATCAAGGCAATTCACAAAAATCTCAGCACATGCAATGTGGTTTTACTAATTTGTGAATGGCCAGCGAATGCCTGCTAGGTATGCAGAGTCCATGCCACGCAAATCAATCCTTCTTGATGCAAACCTTTTTTTTATCATAGTTTGACGGGTCCAAGTAAAAGAATATTGCAAGTGGAAGTGGACCGACTATTCACCATCAAAAATATATTTGATCATGTCTTGCATTAATGGCAATTTGGGGGTGGTAACGATCCAACGGTTAAAATCATCAGATCAGTCTGACTCTTCGTTTTGGTAAAAGGGACTTGGCAATTTATATGTAGACGTTGACACAGAGACTAACAGACCAAAGATGGGAAATTGGAATCTCCCCAAAAGAAGAGGATAATATGATAAACATGCAACGTTGCAATTCATATAGCCACTAACATAAAGACGAAAAGAAATGGCTGTGAACCACATTTTACATTTTTTATGCTTTCCCCAGTGCTTTTATTTACACGGGGGTGTGAACAATTTGTTGATAACGAACCAGAAAGAACAATTTTCGGGTCCAAAAAGAGAGCCATGGTTCGAGGAATGGGCCACATGGGTTCGGCCGGCGAAGGGATTGGTTTGGTCTTCTTGACCCTGGCTTTGTGCATTGCTATTATGTTCGAGCAATGTCAAGGTCGCAGTGCCTATGAAGAGCCAGCAAACTGTCTACGCCTTGAGTGTGCTCCATATCAGGTGATTCACAGTCAAAAAGACTATGAAATTAGAAGTTACAGAACAGCGACTTGGATTTCTACTTCACCACTCAACTCTAACTCGTACAAGGATGCAGTTGGTCATGGTTTCAACATGTAAGCACATCTTTCTCTCAACTTTCCTTTCATTTAGGGCAGATGCATCCTTCAGTGCAAGAAATCACAAATCGCTTTTTGTTTATTTAACAAACCATGGGATCACAGACGCTTTTCTTTGTTTAATAAATACTGTAAAAAAGGTCTAGAGTGTATTTATATTTATGTTTAAAAAATATTTAAAAAGTATTTTAATTTGTTTTATTTCAAAATATTTTTTTTAAAATTATTTTGATGCATTAATATTAAAAATAAATTTTAAAAATAAAAAATACCATCTTAATATATTTTATTTTGAAAAACAATTATTCTCTATTAGTATTTTAATTTGAAACTTTATCATTTACCTATAATTTATTTTATAGGTGTTGTACTAGCATAGGTCCATGAATAACTTTAATTTAGTATAAGACAAGCTCTTGAGATTTAATATTTTAATTTTAATAATAAGCTAATCATTTGCCACACACAACCACCAGGTAGATGGATTATGGAATATCACTGGCCAATTCGATCTCCTACACTTCAAAATCACAATCTTGTCCATGCTTATTTGCCCTTTAAGAATTTATTTAATGATTTCATGCTTATTATGGCGCCTGTGAAGCCTCGCTATGTATATTCAAGGAAACAATGATCAGGCAGCAAACATCAACATGACAGCTCCAGTTTTGGTAGATATGTTTTCATCAACCACGAGTTCCCGCAACCAAACCTTTACTGTGCACCTCTATTTGCCACAAAAGTACCAAAATAACCCTCCTCTCTCCCGTCAAGTACATCCAGTGAAGCTGCCTAAACACCGCCATGCAGCTGTGAAGAGGTTTGGAGGTTTTTTGAACGACACCATCATCCCTGGACAAGTTTTGGCGTTGAAGAAAAGCCTCGAGGGCACCCCCTGGGAATCATCCATAGCAAGGACACAAAGCGGGGGTCGTGTGCCTTGCAGTGTTGCTGGCTACAACTCGCCCTACGAATATGAGAATCGTGTAAATGAAGTCATGTTTTGGTTTGATTAATGTTGACCAGTCATTTGTACACACAGTTAGGTAATGGAGGAAAAGGCAAGAAAAGAAATAAGCCATCTTTATCAAAGGATATGCTACCCAATTGCTTAAGATTTCCTTTTCCTTGTACACAATCGTGCTCCCCTTTTCTTTAATCACGCACTTGATTTACGAGCCTGGATAGGTCCCGAGTGGCAGACAAAAACCAATAGACCTTGCAAAACTAGTTCAAGTGATTGATTTGTTCTTACCCACTGAAAAAATTGGTTCGTACCAGGCTTGGCAATTGGCACTACAACGGCGGAAAGCATTTTCATTATAAATTTGCTGTAGATGCCTAGAATTTAATATTTCACATTGAAAGGAAAGAAAGCCCAAGTTATAACATCAAGCACAAAAAATAACTATTTGATAGAATTTCAGCTTCTTAATTGCTCGTATAATGATATAATAATTATTAAAAGTTTATATAATTATTAACTTTAAGACTCGTGAAATTAGTTATGGTACGTTTAAGTTAATCCGGACATCATGTTAATCTAAAAAAAAAAACTATTTATTAGAATGCCAGGTTAACATGGAAAAAGAAGAAGCTTATAAAGATATCAGAATAAAAATTTTTCATTATAAATTTGCTGTTGATGCCTAGAATTTAATATTTCATATTAAAAGGAAAGGAAGCCCAAGTTATAACATCAAGCACAAAAGATAACTATTTGTTAGAATGCCAGGTTAACATGAAAAAAAAAGAAGCTTATAAAGATATCAGAATAAAAAAGCCCCTTTCTTTTTCTGGTTTGTTGCTGCTTGTTTTCCAAGAATGCTGGTAATCACTTGTGCATGGCTTCGACTGAGATTTGGCCTTAGAGGCAACAAAACCCATATTTGTAGGTTGGTCACACTAACAGTGAGCTTAAAGAATTTTCTTCACCCAGTTGAGAGAAACCCTATTTCATTGATGATAACGCTCAATTCATTTGAAATGATGTTTCAGCTGTTGCAAATTTCACTTCGTCACTCTATTGGGTGCTATTTCCTTTTCGTTAGAGTAATTTTATCACTTTTTTTTAGATTAATATGGGTGTCCGGGCCAGCTTGCGCGCACCACGACTAATCCCACAGGCCCTAAAATTAACGACCATGTAAATCTCCAGTGGCCATCATATGCTTAGAGTAATTTTATCATTTCAGTTCAAATTATGTTTATTCTAATGCCATCTAATTTTATCACTTTTAGTTCAAATTATGTTTATTCTAATGCCATCACCTTTAGTTCAGCTTATATTAGGGCAAAGAGCACTTTAATCACAATGTTCTGGAGCAATACCAAACAGCAGCACATTACATAGTCAAGATTGCCTATCACGTTAATTCTATATTTGGTTGATTCAATAACTCTTACTGGTTGACAAATAAGCAGTGAGAGCACAAACAGAATCATAAAAGTTTTCTAATAGATAAACACCTTCAACAAACACAGGCATCATCTCAAGTACGCAGAAATTGAAACGTGACCAATTTTTTCACAATTTTCACAAAGCATTACGTTTTTAAAGTGTTCTAAATTACTTCACATAGCAATTCAATTGTATGCCATGAATTTAAGGAGCAGTCAGTAAATTAATTTTAAGCCTGAATCCAGTGCTCCTCTTTGATGCATTGACACCTCTCAACTCTTTCATGTCGAGGAGAACGCATGTAAAGGGATTTTCCAATCATTGATATAAATAAGACTTCGATATTTTCTTCAGAACATATAAGAGATAATAAATCTAATTTGACAAGTGAGTTATCCATGCACCACAACTTGACCAAAAATGGCAGAGAAATGCAATTGAAGCCCTATAATCCTGGAAGCAAAACAATTCATTCTATCTTAGGAATGAGGTTCCAAGAAATAAGGATGGAAGTTTCATATCATGTATTGAAATGAGAACAACTAAAAACCATGTTTCACTATGTATGATTTCCTAGCACAGAGAAAGAATCCAGCCGGGCAAGAGCAAAGTAAATTAAAGGAGTACCAGAATGGAAAGGGGGGGTATAGATTTCTTATAATCTAGCAGATTAAACGAAAAGTAGAAACAAACCAATTTGCCACAAAGCTTGCGTACATAATCAAACCCCTTTCACCCAATGTCCACAAAAACCTGTAGCCACCATATCATCTCGAGAGAAGAATTTATGCCCAACAAGAATTCGTGAAAGATGCTCTTTGCTAAGACAATTTCATGCATATCAAGGTAAATTAATGGAATAAAAAACAGCATAAAACAACTATGATTCGCCCAGCAGATGGATGAGCAAATTACTTTTCAGTGAATGATTGCTCCTTTTTCTTTGACATCTGCCGTTAATGACCAAGAGAGAGAGAGAAATCACTGTTCCATATATAATAAACAAAATAGAATCATTCAAAACTTCAACATGATATGAGAGAAATGGACGGAACAAATTTTCAAAATGATTTTGACAAATGGTGAGTTCATGCAGCTGGGAATTACCATTAGTAAGACAACATAGCACATGTGCATGATAACAACAACAATAATTCATTATGATTAAGTACTTGCATGTCTCCTGGTTTTGTGTATTCACAACCTTTATGTCAAAACCAAAGAATAAAAAAAACTCGCAAAGTGTGTAATTTTTGTTGGCTAAACCACAGCTCTCAATATACAGCACGATTGATGGCAGAGGGATTGTTATAAAAGTGTTGATTTGAAGAACATCAGCGGATGAACTTCCCTTCTGCAAAGTTTTTATAGTATTAGCATAACAATCACAATCACAAAGACCAAGATCCGCCTCCAGAGAGAGAGAGCGAGGCAGAGACAGAGAGTTTAAAATGGTGAAAGTGGCCTGGAAAGGATCAGTTGGCACATGATAGCCATTTTGTTCTGTGTTAATGGTTTCTATTCGCCAAATAAGTTTTCAAAAGGAAAGGCATAAATTTTGAAATATGAGATACAATATTCACGAGAAGCAAAAATGGACTGTTATTTAAATTTTCACCTCAAAGTATAGCAATACTTGTGCAGCTTTAGTCATACAGATGATAGTAATAATTCTTAATCACAATGATTCCTGCTGCTTTGTTAATTCAAACACCTGGCAGTTGTCTCACTGCCTACCTTGATTCACAAGGTAAAAAACAAGTTTCAACACTGACATTTTGATTTGAAAAATAGGAAAGGAAACAAAGAATCAAATAGGTGCGTGATAATGTATGAACTGGAAACACCTTAATGTAGCTCTTCCCGGTAAAACATTACCAGCAGATGATGCTAGGAGAGAGAGAACAAACAGTAAAATAAAACCAAGCACCCTTCTGATTCATCAATTTTAAGCAAAGACTACATGTCCATTTTGATAACACGATAACAAACTTTAAAATCTGATAACATTAGATTTTCTGTCTTAAATCAAAGCTAAAAACACAAAAAACAGCTAATTTTCAGTCAAGTTAAACTACACTCAAATTTTCAATCCTTTTATTTGCTTCCATAAACATTCAAGTCATTGCATTTAAAGATGCACAACCACAACAAAACAGTGTTGTATCACTATTTAGCCAAGAGGAGGAAACAATGAAGAATATTTTAGACAAATTCTATCGCACCAATCTTCTCCGCCTTTTCTATCTATATCAGGTAGTCATTCTTGCATTAAATGATTCATGCAGGTTCTTCTCTTGACAGCATTATCTCTGGTCGATTCTAACTGTCTCTTCCTATTATAATCTCTTGTTTCTTTCTTGCACTCATCATGTTTAGGAGCATTTAACTCCCACCTCTGATCTCCATCATAATATGGCCTTCTCTCCCTCGGCCCTGTTGACTCTTCTTCAACTTCTTTTTAGCAAATGTCGAGTTTAGGAGCATCTAACTCCACGCTCTGACCTTCATCATAACATGGCCTTTTCTCTTGAGGTGTATTTATAAGTCCAGGGCTGCATCATAACATAACGTTTTGATTTTGGCTCCACTCTAGATCCAGTTTCATCATTTTTTTTCTTTTAAACACCTCAAGATTGTCCCAACAACCTTCAAAAATTCATTTTCATCCCCATAAAGGCGTTTTAACTTTAAAAAATCAAATTATATTTAAAAACTCAATATATATATATATATATTTATCTTATTTGACCCTATTTGTTTTGTATTTCAAAAATGTTTTTATCTTATTTGGCCCTATTTGTTTTGTATTTCAAAAATGTTTTTGAAAAAATTAATTTTTTTATTTTTTTAAATTAATATTTTTTAGTGTTTTTAAATTATTTTAATTCGTTGATATAACAAATAATTTTTTAAAAATAAAAAATATATTATTTTAATTTATATATATAAACTACTTTAAAAACCATCCAAAATTTTACTATGAAACAAGCCCTTTATCCAGCTACTTGAATTCAAAGAACAACCATTGTTAAATTTCTTCAATTCACACAAAAACAGGTTATTTTATAATGGAAAGAGAGCTTGTCAAAGTTTTTTTTTCCTTTCTCTCTCCTCTCTTCTTTATTAACCGTCAAAGCTAAAGTATAATGAAAATAAAATATAAAACTAAAATGTAACTAATTAAATATTTACTAGAGTCGAGTACTCAACCTTTGACGACCCTTGAACATTAAACAACTATGATAATGAATAATAATTAAACACCGAGCGGTTTTAATTTATTAGTAATAAAAAAAAAATAGTAAAGTAAATTAGTAATTTAGGCTCTCCTGTTTTGTTTTTCTCTAGATACTGGGCCCTTGCCTGTAGCAGAAAAAGCAAAACTTGTCTATCCCCCGTGGCCAAGGGTTAAAGAGCTCAAGCCCTAACCCACCCAGCATCTGGAAACGAGAAGAAAAACGGGAAAGTCATAATTAAAAAAAAGAAGGTAAATACATCTGATTTTCAAAGGGAAGAGTGCCATTTACACAAGGTGTTTGATTCAGCGGGCATCTATCAACGGGGGAAAACACAAGGGATCCCGTGTTCAGATCTCATATTCTAACCATACAAAAAAAAAAAAGAGAAGGGAATTTATATATAACTCGTCCATAAAAATAATCCCAGTCTGTCAAATATTCTATAGTCAGGCAAATATATATTTATATTGCAGAGCATCATT